CTCCCAGTCGTTAGTAAGAATCCTAATTCCCGACATCAGACCCTCTCCCAGTCCAAGTCCTTCCCAAACTAACTGTAAGAATCCCAATTCCCGACATCAGACCCTCTCCCAGTCCAAGTCCTTCCCAAACTAACGGTAAGAATCTCAATTTCCGACATCAGCCCCTCTCCCAGTCCAAGTCCTTCCCAAACTAACTGTAAGAATCCAAAAACAATATCTGTAAACACGAATAAAGTATTTAGCTTTTTGCAAGAGAATGTATCCTTATAGAGAAGTTATAAGTATTGATGCAAAGGTTATGGAAAAGTATAAAAGTAAACTCAACATGAGCCGTAACTTGAACAACATCTTGTCGCTTTCAATAGTCTTCAGTACTACCTATACCATAACAGAAAGAATGATTTAGGGTGTGAAGAGTTACACAGAAATAACACAGAAAACCATAATCGAAATCTCACAAATAATTAAAGTAAATCGTCATTTTTTAGTCTGAATCAAATAGAAAAACATTAACAATTAACAAATATGATACAAATTTATATACCAAAAATTAAAAAGTTTCATTTTTACCAGCTTTGGGATATCATAAAAGAACCACAAATCTTAGCTTTGGAATATCAAAAAAGAGAACCATAAATCTCTAAGATTTTGATGAAAAAATAGAAACTGTTTGTAGAAGGGAAATCGATTTGGGGATGGAAATGGAAAATCGATATGGGTAGGAGAACCACTACAAAACGAAAGAGTAGAGGTAGTCACTGTAAAATAGAAACAATCGGGTCGGTGAAGCAATGTAAAATAGAAACAATCGGGTCGGTGAAGCAAAATATAATAGCTTCGGGGAAGAAAGGGTTGTTTCAAAGATGGAAAATCGATTTGGGGAAATCATTCAGTGAAAAGGGATCAAACCGCGACTGATCCCCTCCAGCAACAGCCACCGCATGATTGAATGAACAATAAATTTAGGGTTTGGAATGTAAACAACCGTCTTAATATGCTTCAGCGGAAAAATCAAATATTGTAATCTTGGAAAAGAATGTTTTGGATTGAAAATCATGAAATGTGTTTGCAGTATCAATGTATCCACTAGCTGCTCATATTCCGCAGCTAGTATTAATATTGATGAATTTTTATCGTAGTAATAACTATAAATATAATCACTATAAAAATTCAACAAAAATTAAAATAATGTAAAATCCAATCAAAATTAGGGTTATGTCACCTCAGCGGCATTTAACGACAAATAAATATAAAGCTAGCAATGTTCAAAACGTCAATTTTAATTCTTGTAATTAGATTAAATAATATTTTTAATCATAGAGGTTAGTGAGTAATTTTCAGATATTTATAATAGATTAAATTAGATACGTGTCTCTAACTATTATTTGTATTGAAAGAAAATCAATTTTACATGTGTCTATAGAGAATAATATTTACTATCAACATTTGTACTCTATACTGAAAGGTTAGTGAGTAATTTTAAGAATTAAGAATTTTACATGTTGATAGTACATTTGTACTCTAAACTTTATATTAAAATAAAGAGTAATTAATATATTAAGAAATAAAAAATTAATATATAATTCTTAATATTGGATATTATATTTCTAAATATACATAAAAATATTAATTACTCTTTATTTTAAAATTGAAGAAAAAATATGTTATTACAACTTTATTAATATTATTACATTTTTAAACAATAATAAATATTCAGTTATTGAAATAATTTATTTTTAAAAATGGTAATCATGAAAGGATAAGATATAAATTGATAGAGAACGGTAATATTTAAATATTTTTAAGATGAAATATATATATATATATATATATATATATATATATATATATATATATATATATATATATATATATATATATATATATATATATATATATATATATATATATATATATAATTTGGTGTGTCATAAAGAAATGGTGTAAATGTTATATTTATAATGGTCTTAAATGTTAAAAATTGCAATAGGGTAAATTAAATTTTTCAATATAATTGGGTTATTAAAATTTGATATTTGAATTAGGTTATTCCTTCATAAATATGATAAATTTTCATGTTGATCCATTGATATTTGTAATTCGAAAAATAGATTACCCACGCAAATAGTGATATTTTAGTTATAAAAAACTATCAATTCATTTTAAAATTTATCTTTTTTTAATTAAATATAAAATTTATCATTTTTTTTTAACAAAAGCAAACTCAATTTATATTATTAAATAAATAATGTCTAATACAAAGAGAACTCAAATAAAATGCCATGCATCGAGACCAGAAATTTATCTTTTTTAAAAATTATCTTTTTAAATTATGAATTTTTCGATTTAAATTTGATTATATTATATCTTTATAACCATTATATTTAAAAACAACTTTCAGAAGAAAAAAATATAGTATACAATTGTTAATATTTTGAAATTTCATTTAGTTATTGTAAATGATCTTTATTTTCTAATTATTTTTTAGTAGAAAATTTTTTTAAATTGAAATTAATTATTTATATTATCAATATACAAAATTTTATTGTTAGTCACAATTATTTATAATTATTAAAAATATAATTATAATAAAACATGAACATAATTTATGATTAATTAATATTGTAAATATTTCTACGTATCAATCAAATATTTTAAAATTGGAATGTATTGAAAATAAAAACTAATTAAACAAATTAACTTAGAATGTTTTCAACTTTTTAGTTGTTGGAACGTTTTTATTTATTTGAAATAAACTTCTTTTTTATAGTAATAATATATTATATATTTAATATAACATATCAATGAAAAAAAAATCTTGGAAATTCGTTTTAGTTTTTACCAACACAGAAATGTTGTTTCAAAAGTTTTATTATCATGATAATAGTTACAGAGAAATGCTACAAATCACCCAATTATATTAGTATCAATTATTATTCTATAATTTATTCCATTTTATAATAATACTGTTGAAAATGGTGAAAAAAATTAATCATATATATTTATATTTAAAAATAATAATAAATTACTAAAAAAAAAGAGTAATATGAAGTAGTTATTGATTTTCTATTTTCTATAAACTATATTTTTAACATAATACTTTTGAGAAAGAAATTATAAATATTTTTAAAAATATTTTTTAATCATCAATATATTATATTTGTTTATTATTTTATAATAATATTGTACGGATAGTAAAAAATAGTATAGAGGGTAATATTATAAATAGGATAGTTAATAGGTGCTGGAAGAAGAAAAAACTACAAGAGCATGTTGCTCAGTTAATTCTTACAGTCGGATAGACTGTTTGCTTTGTTTTTCTTTATGGCAGTTTTGTGGCCTGTGGCCTGGACCCTATGGGTCGCCTGGAGCTTGTACTGTTTTGGGATGTATATATAAATATATCAGTTTTCCAAAAAAAAAATTTATTGTACGAATAATTCTATTAGAGGATAAAATTATATAATATTACATAGCGTCCATAAATTTATAATACATAATAGTTTAAAAATTATAGATATGTCAGACGGACCGAACCTATTTTTCTAACGAGTCGACAAAATATTTATTTAAATTAAACAAATATTAAAAATAATATATTTAATAACTTCTAAATTACTATAACATATAATTTTTAAATTAACATCTTTATTTAATATTTATAATAATATTACACAATCATACGTGTTTATATTGACTTTACGCGTCTCATGCGAACGCAAGAATCTTATATATTTTTTAATCATTATTATACTATCTTAAATTGTATAAACATGTAAATACACGGATAAATAATCAGTTTATCCTAACAACTACTCTAATTTAATAAATTAAATTAAAATTTATGTGACAAATGAAAAAAAATTATCTTAATTCATATATATTTTTATATATATTTTTTAACCATAATTATATAATATTAATTTGATATTTAACATAAATCAATTATTATAAAATAACAGCAGGGTACATAATCATTTGGTCGTTCAAAATGCATTTAAAATCAACTAGTATTTATTCAAATACATCACACACAAAAATACAGATAAAATCAACATAAACAAGTGTTAATCCAAAATACATTTAAAATCAACGAGTACATACTCAAAATACATCATCGCAAAAAAATACATAGCGCACCAATGAGTGTCGGTTTAAAATATATGATCACAAAAATAGCATCCAAACTACATTAAAAAAAGCTCAACAAATATCTATTAGAAATACATCATCTTCAACATTGTTAACGTTGACCTGATCCTGAACTGATTTAGTTTACTCTCATGACACTCCTTTTGATTCTATAAGAGAATCTTCAGACGAGATATTAGTCTCGTTTATGTTATATTAATATTTAAACTTGTATTTATTGCTAAAATGATTTTTGTTATCCTTTATATAAATAAAATTCCAATAACAGTTCCGAGAAAACCATAACGGCATTTCATCTAGTTACTAAAATCTACTGCTCATAGCTCGTCAATTTATCTTTGTTGGAATTTGTAAATAAATAAATAAAAAATAGAATATAAAATAAAAGATCAAAGTGAGTGCAATGCGGTATGAATCTAATTATTTACTTTCTTCTTTAAATAAAATAATTCTACAAAATGCAGTGAATCTTGAAAAGGGTAAAACTAAGAAGAATTAAAAGCAACCTCCCTCCCACAAATATTTGTAAAGAAATGTGAAACTAATTAGGACTATAGTACACCTGCCACCCAAGAATGAATGGCCTTTGACATAATAATACAAATAACTTGACAAAATTAAAGAATCACTGAATCGGCCAACACATAATCCCCCCCGCTGGACCTGGTTAGTCCCATGCACAGCACAAGAGGGCAGCTGCAGTAAATGGTTGAACCTAATCCGGGCCATCAATCAAACCTGCAAGGCTAGTAGGCTACGTATACCCTATGCATTGTCCAAACATAGGTGAAACTGTGTAGAACATTTCTTTGAAGCGCCCCTGTGTATTTATATGTACAAATTGCTCATCAAGCATTGTTAGCAACTTCAGCAGCTCTCTGCCTCATCATTTCCATTACAGCAGCTCTTCGCCGTGAATCAGACTGCTGCTGCAGCCTCCTTAGATGTTCTTTTAAATCTCTGTTTTAATCCCAAAGCACAAATTAACACATGAAAATTCAATAATAAATCCAAAGACTAACTTCAGTGTAATGGTCCACAAACCTGCATCGTGGCACGTGGCATTCTGATTCTTTGCATGCGCGAGCATGAAGCTGAAGCAAATACCACATTTTTTTGCAAAGAACGCAGCCTCCGGAAGCACGTGTTTTGCAGTGCATACCATGGCGGAAGAGTCCCTTCACTTTGCGACAATTAGGATATTGGCAATGTGCAGAACGACATTGGGAGGCATGCACTAGAAGATCGAGCATTTTCCTTAGCTGTAATTACACAATCCGTTTACATCAGAATATATACAGAAATTTCACAGCATGTATGATGATAAGCAAACAATAACATCACAACAATTCAAAAACATAATACCAACAAAAGTTTAGAAACATGCCACTGAAAGAAAGTGACTATGCTTCAAACACAACAGGTTATATACCATTTAATAATATGGCTCACACAAATGTTGAATAAATTGGAAGAAGTATCATGTCATTGATAATCCATTTTATGCTAGTCATCAATAAACATCATGAATCCAAGTTTCTGTGCCATAAAGTTTCACTAGAACTCTAAATTCAAATTTAGTTTTAACATGTTCCTATAGTTTTAGTAAATGGACACTGGTAACCTGCTTAATTAAAGGTTATTCAATGACTGCTTAGCATTCGAGAGTCTATGCATAAGCGATTTCCACAACCAACATAGGAATAAGAGAAAATTCTGCATGAGCTCGGTATAATTTGATTTTACAACCGACTCAAAAGCTTATGAAAATAAGTTGAAAACTGATTTGCATATCATATGCAACTTTTGCAAACTCTTCCAAACAAGTTACCTCCCTCCCTCTCTTACTGCATCCTCCCTCACTATCTTGATTCCCAAATCCCTCTCTCGATTGTCATCATGAAATGTTGAAATTTCATTATAATTCTCTCTTCCCCCAATGCTTCCAATGCCCTTGGTTGCCATCTGTCCCCTGCCTTTTTATTTCGACCCTTCCTTCTTTCATGAACTCGTCTTAAAATGTGTGATTGGGCCTAACTCGACCCTACAAAACCGACTTGTAGAATAAAGATTACCCTCACTTATAAACACATGTTCAGGTCATATATTATCCGATGTGGGACTTTTAACACCCCCTCTCACGTCCAGGATAAACGTTTGGAGCGTGGAACTAAATGGTGGGTGGCCTGATAACAGAGTGGCCCAACGGATCTTAAACCGAACTCTGATACCATCTTAGAATGTGTGATTGGACCTAACTCGACCCTACAAAACTGGCTTGTAGAGTGAGGATTGCTCTCACTTATAAGCACATGTTCAGGCCATATATTGTCCGATGTGAGAATTTTAACAACCTGCATTCCTTAATTCATTTGAGACCACTTTTCTCTACCTCTTCTGGCATCTCCTTAGTTTAACCTGGATTCCCTTTCTTTCATAGATGCAATCACTTGTCTACCATAACATCTTTACCTTTATAAAACTAAGCTTGCATGTGTTTTCATTTTACCACCACCAAACAATCACATGTTTTATAATTTTGCAGCCTTGAATGGTAATTTTCTATCACAAGCTTAGATTAAGGAGGGTTGAGTTAAGCAATTGGAAAATACCCTAAGAGCCCTTGTTGTATATTTATGGCACAAAAATATATGAATAATATAAACAGGTGAGATATAAGCATGTCCATTGCTTAAACACAATCCATGGGAGCATTAATATCCTATACAGTACCTGCAATACTCGAAACTGCCTTGCTTCTTTGTTCTGAGCATCACGTTCCACCATTGACGGGTGATTTGTCAACGGATGAGGATGATCAATATCTCCCTTTTGATAACAAGAATTGCATACATCGTACTCTGGGCAAACTTCACAACGCCAACCTTGACCAGTTTCTATGTCAAGATAGCATACATTACAAGTGGCCACAAATGCAGGAGCAGTTGGATTATGAAGATGATATAGGACCATCATTGAGGAATGCTTGGCCCGCCTTAAAGTATCATACTGGTAATGATTTCCCTGGCAGAGACTCAGAAATGCCTGTCTAGTGTCGAAGAATTCACTTTCAAGAATATCATCTTTATCCTTTGTATCATCTGGTATATCAGTAATTTCAACCTGCAAGATAAAGCTCGTTAAAACAATTAACAGTTCACTAATTAGTAAAATGATTAACTTTAAATAAATTCAAATTTAGAATGCAATAACTTGTCTAAGACCTTATCTTTTGAGAGTAGGAACCAGGAATTAGGCGGACATTAAATGATTAACAGTCAAGTGCTAATAGAATCTAACACGGAAGTATAAAAGCAATGAACTACTCTCTCCGTTTCAAAATGACTGTCGTTTAAGGTTTTTACACACAGATTAAGGAATGTAATAATGTTGTCATTAGACATTACACTTTTACTAAATTAACCTTATTAATATATTGAAAATAGTCTACAGAGTAATAATTAAAGGGCACAATTGAAAAAATAGTAATCATTGCTACATTGAAAAGTGAGAATCATAGTCATTTTGAAACAAATTTTATTTGCTAAAACGATAGTCACTTTGAACGGAGGGAGTAGTTTATAACCAAACACTTTTTACGTCAAAATTAAACCTACTTACCGGATAAAGAGTGTGTTTTTCTCTCTGATTAACAGGATGTCTTTCTCTCTCTTCACGCTGTAGTTCTGCTTCATAACACCTAAAGAGATGCAAGACAAAACGTGTGACTGCCAAAATCGATTTGTTGAGTTTGAAAGTTATTCAGTTGGCAATAAATAAATAAAAAGAAAAATTGAAAGATCAGACAAGGGATAAAAACAAATAATACTAATGAGATAAGACTTATATGACGTTGGGAAAATTTAGAAATGTTATTGTAGAAATATCCACAGCAGATAAATAGTAGTCAGAACTACTCTTTTCTAATTAGTTAGAGATGCCATAATTTTCTACTGTGTTATATCCATTTAATTTAACAAATAGTAATTGACATGCCATATGCCAAAACGTGGAGATAAGATTAAAGAGTCTTACTTATCACAAATCTGAAAGTTCTTGCACTGACTACAAACCCAACGGTTGCCACACACCATTAGAATACAGCAGTGGCTACATGCATGCTGCAAGTGAACCATAATAAAATCTTCCTTCATTGGAGAAATGGTTTCACCAAGCTGGAGAAAGAATGATCAAGAACTTATTTATACAAACAAAAAAAGTTAAAATCGCTGAAGTAAGGAGAAGATAATAATGTTAGGAAACATGATCACACAACGTAACAATCAAATTGTTAAAAGATATTTATATTGTTGCATATTAAAATGATGGATTACTTTGTGCATGAGGAGCAGATCTTTCGAAGCATTTCCTGAAAGATCCGACTGGCCAGACGCTTTTAAGGCCCTTTTTGTGATAGTCTTTTTGGTTGTTCCCTTTTTATTTTGTCTTCTTCCATCTTCCTCTTGGCGTAGCTGATAAATCAAATCCTCTGCAGCCCCAGGCCAGTAGTCACCATCAAAATATGGCAGTCTGGAAGCTGTAACCTTAGCTCTACATTCACCAGTAGATGTGAAGAAATGATCATATAAGTTGGTGATATCCACCACAACATTCTCCTTTGAAGCTTTTCTTAACATGGCAAGATACCTAATGAAACATGTTCACAGATGCAGTAGAGATGAATAAACATACCACATTATACAATTACAATTATAGGACAATTTTCTGTTTCTTTTTGCTAATATCAAATCTCTTGTGCTCACCATTCACGAAGCTTGTCAGATTTTGGTGTTTTCTGAATTTCTGGATGGCAATATAAAATATAGTCTTCACCCTTTAATGGAGGACAGGCCCATATATAGCAGCTGGTAAAACCGCGCAGCTTACAATATTCAAGGTATCCAATCTACAAGAAATAGAACGAAATGAAAAATTGTTTATATATAATACAGTTTACAGTATCATTAAAAGCCAGAACTGTAATATCTCCAAGAAAGGGTTCCAAAGTAAGAAATTATGCCAAACATTACCAGAATTTCATGGTAAACAAATGTTCGAAGAGCCTCTCCAGTTACTGATTTAACCTCGGGCCTGAAATACTTCACAGAGTCCAGATATGAAAGATACACCCGGCGCTGATTGGGAAATTGACATTCAGCTCCAAATTCTTGAACATACATGCCAAATAGGCATACTTCCACACCTTCAATCTTTTGAAACAGCAAAACTACCTGGAAGTGAAAGCTAAGACATCATTATCAATGATTATAGATAAGGTTTTAATAACAACCATGTAGTTTAAAACAACCTTTTGATTACCTTGGATTTGTATGGAAATTCTGTTGGGTAATTCTCTTCCTGAAAAATTTCCAAAAAGCGCTGTTTCACTTCTAACTTCTTGTCAACGGAAGACACAACTCTTACGACTAGGGAATCAGCTCCAGGAACCTAGTAACACCCAAATGAAAACAAAATTAGCAATCCATTAGAAACCAAGATGCACTAGCAAAGAGTGTTCTATGCATGCTTTCCTCTTGGACCTAAAGTTTCGTCTCTTACAAAACATGTTTGTAAGATGCATATATCTGGTCGATGTGGAAATCTCAGTACACTGCACGATCAAGACTAGACATTTAAAACATACAATGATCATGGATCTCAACACACCCCTTATGCCCAAGATTTGACATCAAGAACATGGACAATTGATAGTGATAACAGTGATATTGGCCTAAATTGTTGTGAATTGAACAATTTAGCTTTCTCGTATTATATTATATAAATAATTAGTGTTCTTTATCAACGTACACATACCTTAATTCTTGTTAAAACCATATATATCTTGTATTCATGCATATGCCTCCTAGTAGATAAGTTAATGAGCCCAGATCTTTGTTATTCCACCGGCATATGGTTATTTGCCTAGACTAATGTGGGTGACCCGCCCACACTTAGGACAGGAAATTGGCCTAGATCATTTTAATAAGTAATTTTCAAAGCCTGGTTTTTTGTTTATGGTTTTTATTATATTTAGATTTAGATGTTTTTATTCTCACTTGAATTTGTGTTTAAGGAGTGTTGGAGGTGAGTCAGTGTAAAAAAAGGTTTTTTGGGACATGTGTTAGAGGTTCCTGACACATGTTGTACAAGTTTCAGTGTTCAACATGTGTATGACACACGATATATCTAAGCCTAGGAGTATTTGAGAGACCTAGAATTCTCACACCAGATTTTCTTTCAAAAGGTTAATCTCCCTCGAATTCCCCTTCTACTAGTTATAACCAACCAACTAACTAACCATCCAACTTACAGGGATACTGGATGCCTAACAATCTAACTAATATAAAATACAAGGTAAAAAAGTGAAGAACTAAAATAAAAAAGAGAAGTAATTATGAAGTAAAAAATAGCACTGAATGTAATTCTCATAACCAGTATATTAATCACCTCATCGTAGCTTTTCCCATGAAACCTTGCTCTCTCTGTTCTTTCGTGCTTTAGCCGCTTAAACAACCGTTGTTCTATATGATCGCTAAGAATAGTTCTAGGTAAATCCTTCGCTCCAAGAACAGCACTTTGGGGTAATGGCTTGCGCTCACCCCGCTCTACCTCTTCAATATAGCAGTTAGGGCAAGTGTATTCAGCTTGTCCACCATCATTTCTTCTTCCATTAAACAAAGCACATATTTGATGTTGCCAAGCTTCGCATTTATCACATTGAACCCACTGCAGACAAAACACTGATGGTTAATAAAACAAATAAACAACTAATCAAGCAACAAAATGGCACATATGGCACGCACCCATTCCTCAGTTTCCTCATCATTCTTCTTCTTTTCCAATCTTGACTTAGAGATGGGAGTCCCATCAACAACAATGTGTTCTGTACGAGCATCATTATAGCATGGGATACAAAAATAATGCCGAGTATCACCAGTACCCATGGTATAGTACATATTGTTCCGTTTGATGCGAACCCCACATGTTGTGCAATAAATAGGTGGCGGTTCAAATGTAAGCTTCTCAACAGCACATAATTGACAGGAATTCTCACTCATAGAATGCTCCATTGCTTGATTCTTCTCTGCCTTTGATTTGCTCTGTCACAGAAAAATGAAGCATAATAGTAACAGGTTAGTACAGAAGACAGTTAGAAAAAACGTGTGCATAAGATGTAGAAAATGAGCGATTAAAATAGTAGAATATGTTACACCATACTTCAATATGTTAATAAACCTTGGCTTTAAGATAACATAACCTAGCATGTTAAATAGCGTGGAGTGCATTCCATTAGGTTCGATTTCACTATATCTCTTTTCATAATCAAAACATAGCCAAACTGATGAGACTGAAATAATTCAAATAATGAAATGCATAATAGGCATCTTATATGTAACTAACACCATGTTCTGTAGATCATGAAACTGGCTATTAAAGAGACAGACAGCCTAGGGTATATCAAAGTATGAGTTGGAGCCTTAAAAGTAACTACAAACCCAAGTTATTCATTAGCATAATATTCATAGCACCCAGCTATTTATTTGGGTGGACTTGACTGATGAATTTCGGGAATGCCCTAAAGATTCGATGATTTTTCTCTAAACTAGATTCACGTGCTTTTTCTGTAGAAAGGAGGGTATATTCTTGGGGCTGTGTGATCTGCATGCTGTTCTTTGGTGCCAGCCTTAGGCTAGAGTAAAGTTCCTGCCTCTTTAAAGGAAAATATGTCACTAGACTAGTTGTTATCAATCTCTGCATGTCACTCAGCACATACTTCTATTCATAGAATCCTAGAGGTAGACTTGTTAAAAAAGTGGAGTTCAGTAAACTTCTCTTTGTACTCATTCGTATAAATTTTCCTCTTGTATAAATGAAAAGAGCTGTCAATTTGTTGACACCAAAATAAACATAATCCGTACAGGGTCTATTTGGTTCTTTCGCTCAATCGAAATTTTAAAGTTTATTGAGTTTGTTATGACACCGCCGGAAAGGCTGAAACTAAATAGTTTATTTCAGCTTGTGACATCCCTGTCTACGAATATAAAATAAAGGATGTATAATCAAACCAGGGGGTTACTAATGAATTTCACGCAAGCAAAATGTGCTTTTTGAAGTCCACAGACTATTATATCGGGAAGTATCAGTAGATTTAACTTACAATTAATGGCATTAAATTAACTTTTTTGTTTGAAAATGATAACATGGAAAGATACAAATACTTACTTGGCCAACCCATTGCCGGAGACCAGTAATATGTTCCCGGACTTGCTCTGGAGTAAATAATTCAGTTAAAGAGACCCCCTTAATTTTTGGCTTACCAGACTTCGTTCCAGCTGCATTTTCACTGTGCTGCGTCACATTTTCTTGCCTATCTTGCCCAATTTCTTTCTCATTTTTCATATTGTCTGGCCTGGCTAAATTACCAGGATCATCATTCTTGACAGGCTCACCACTGGGAATTTTATTATCTACATTATTGGAATCCATCTTCATATCGCTAAGCTTAGCATGAGACTGGACTTCTGCTTTTACTTCTGTAAGCTCAGACTTAATTGAGATAGACTTCTCTACATTGGGATAGATTTGGGACTGAGCATCCCTGGAAACAAGAGATTCACAATTTGCAGAAATAGAGGATGAAACAGAATTATCCTTTTCAAGATTAACAGATTGGGTGCAATGCTCAATCTTTATGCGTTTTAGAGATGGGTGCAAGCCTTCTGAAGTTTCCACAACTAATGTAGGATTTGAGATCAATCTGGATGACATAGCTGTAATATTGTAAGATTTACACGATCCATTTACCACACTTGGCAAACTTGATTGAGATTCTGGCTGAATCTGAGCTTTAAGTTGAAATGCGCGCCGGTAATTTCTTACAAAAACACAAACAGGGCAACACGGATCCTTGCAGTGCATGAAATGACGAAGCAATACCCTAGTATGATGACAACGCGGGTATGGACAATGACGACCTAGGGTGCATCCATCTATGTGCTTGCATAAATTCTGTGCACTAGAACAACAGCGTTCTTGGCATCGTCCTTCAGGAGCAGAACATCGTCGAGCATGAAGTAGAAATAAGAGCCACCTTTGTTGATTTTTGTGCGCATTTTTGAGATCACTTCCTGGGTCTGGTGGATCAGCTGCGCCTCTAGGAGCAACAGCTTGGCTCATAGATACATCTGATGATAAGTTATTGCAATGAGCTTCATCCTTTCCTGATATTCTTTGATGAAAATCCACATGGAGATGCTGGTCGTGTGAAATATTGTTAGACATGTGGTTACCATCTTGTGAGTCAGGCCATTGGTTTAGAACTACTGGTTTAGAATTGGATTGTGCACCAACTGTAAGACAGCTGAACTTATTTTGAGATTCTGCAACTAATTGGTGTGGATGCAACATTTGTTGCGAATTTTGAGGTGCTGATGACGATAAATCGTGCTGACCAGATGGAAAGGAAAGGTATTGAGCACTCCTAGAACAATCTTCAGAGGAATTTTGCTGGAACTGATTCTGCATCTCAGACATATGGAACTGTTCAGGAACATGAGAATTGAGCACTTCTTTATCGTGTTCAATTCCAGGCTCTATCTTCACTTGGTTTTCTAGATTGGAAGACAACTGAGACTGATTGAAACCATCGTCATTGACCAAATGCTGAGGCTGCTGACTATGTAGTTTCAACTGAAACTGTTGCTGTGATTGTGAATACTGTTCTAGCTGTTGAAATTGCTGGGGCCTTTGCTGATACTGTTGTTGAGAATGCAGAAAGGCATCTCTTGAAGTCGATGAAGACTGAAACTTTTCCAATTGATTGACTGCTTGAGATTTCATATGAGCAGCCTGCTGCATACCATGCAAATTTGAGTGACCGCTAACCAATGAATTAGTCTTGGGTATAGATGACAATTTTACTGAATTTGTGTTCTGAGTGTTCATCATAGACCCAGAAGATGCCACAGACCCATAGAAGTTTCCAGAAGCAAAAGGGTCGACATTATTCAATCCATATCCATCACCTGATAATAAAATTGTTACCCATTATGACAGATGTCAATTTCTAAGGACAAAAAATATACATATACATAAACACGGAGAGATAGACATATGATATAGACCTCTAGTTCTGCTGATTAGGATTAGTTATGCTGATTAGGATTAGTTATGCTAATTAGGATTTATTATTTATTTTTAACAAGTTAGTATTTCAGAATTTTTAAATTTGAATTTCAGTATTTTTAGGATAGGTTTTAGGGGTCAGAACAGAATCTACCTATTAAATAGGATTGTTATCATTTAAAAATTTAAATGATAGTAATTTTAGGGAAAAGTAGTTATTGACTTAATTTAGTTAGGGATTCTTATTCTATTGTAAGCCTATTTAAAGGCATTCAGATTATCAATAAAAATCATCAATAAATATCATAAAAAAATACTTGTGAATTCAAGAAGAGACTCTGCCAAAGACGAGTCCCCTTCTGCCTTCACCACCATAGGTCGAAGCAAAGCTTCTACAGTATCTAGGACTGTGTCAACGCGATCCAAGACAAGGGACCATAACAAATACCAAAAAATAATATTAACTAAAAAAGGTGATATAACTAAACACAGGTAAGAAAGATTACCCTGCACTACTGGTTTCTGATTCTGGTCAAAGTGCTGATGCATGTGTTTAGGGGAATTAGCATAAGTTGAGGCATAGCCATCAGAAGTGCCTGGTTCATTAGCAAGTTGGACATTGTTACCAATCAAGCCCAGCCCACTATTTATAGCACCATTTGAGTTTGTAAATTGTTTTTGTAGCAAACCAGATTTCATTCCACTACTCATTTGGCTGCCAAGGTTCGACAATACATGACTTTGGTCTCCAACATGCTGTTTCTGCTGCAGCAGCTGTGACTGTGATACCATAGTAGACTCTGCACTAGAAAAGATATTACCGTTAGAAGATGAATCTACATTCATATGTGAGTGATTGTTGTTGACGGTAAATCCTGGCGTAGGAATCATTTGGCTTGAAATTCTCGGCACACCCATTGATGACATGTTCCCTCCCGAGCCAACGGAAAAGTTGGTAGAAGACTGCTGATATCCATTTGACAAACCTACAATAAATACGCTCCATAATGAAGAGGAAGAAAAAAAGGAAATCAAAGTGAAAAAGGTTGGTAAAGCACTATAGCATTTTTATTACCATCAGATCTATTTATGGAACTGCCAAGCATGCCACCAGGTGGTAACATATTTACACTATTGAAAGATGTTGATACCATGCTATTACCCCCGCTGGAAGATATCATTGAGGCATCTATAGAAGATGCAACCCCCATGCTTGAATTTGGACCATGCGACAAACCAGGGGTTGGTATCATTGTACCAATGGGAGAGGAGCCAATAAGCTGAGGATATTGTTGGGTTTGATTATTCATAGTTGCCCGTCGAAGGAAACTAGATAAACGACTCTCTAGTGTTTCCAAGTTCATGTAGTCCTCCTAAAATACAAGTCCAAAACATTGTAAAAACAATAATAATCTTTGAAATTAAGGAGGAAGAAGTTTGAAGGCACCTTGTTATTACTTCCATAATCATAAATCTTGGGTATTTAAAAAATTCAAATTAAGGAAGATTTAAATCCCTCCCGATAGTGATAAGATAATTAACATGAGATCAAGAAAAAACCTTAGAGGAAGCAGCTTTTAACATGGCCTCCTCCAGGCGTTTTGCAAGATCCTTAATCCTCCTTTTCTGCATATCATTAACTGCCTGAGGATGCCGATGCAATAACACATCACAGCTGGAAGGTAAAGTGTAAATATATGTTATTTGCTGTAAAGTGAAATCAACAATGAAAAAGAATGACAAAATATATTGATATATGGTATGCACGCATTCAAAAAAACGAACAAGGTGGAGCACTCAGAGACAGAGAGTAATCCAATTGACTTAATGGCATATATACTGCAGTGGCCCTAATCAATAACTTTGATAGAATGACCTCGCTAGTTCAAAGCTAGGCAATAAGTATGCAACTATATGTTCCCCATAGAAGTTGAAGGGGCGGTTAAAGAAGCAAATAACTTACATCTTCTCTTGAATAAATGCTCGTGCTCTAAGAAATTCAGGGTCCATGTTATTTGATGATCTTGACACACCGCTTAAAGATGGCATCTGCGATGGGAGGGCATTGCCATTTAGTTGGGTGAGTCCAGGCAACTGAGAGGCAGTTTGATTGGGTACCTGTCCAGATATCTGTCCTGGAATATGTGCCTGTAGTTTCATCTTTATTCTTCACATAACTTAAAAATGTTCCACACCATCAATCAGCTAGTACAAACCAAACACCTGATGAGTATTGCCAATTCAATAACAAAACCAATGTAAAGCCAACAATTCAATGTCAAAATCCATTTAAAGTCAACAATTTCATTTTAAAGACAGTGACAAAAGTAAAATGCAAATATACAAAATTTGAATGCAGGCAATGATTGTTAAAGTGTATGAGCAAAATAAGGTTGACGGTAAACGGAATCCCTATAGTTGTTGTGGATAATTGATTATAGAAATTGAATCAAGGTTGAGTAGTATAAGAAACCCTAGAAATAAAAAATTACAAGTAAAGGGGGCAAGGAAACCCTAATAGATTGATGGGTTACGACGAACCTAAAACAGTGAAGAATCGGTTGCGGAACAAAATGGGAAAAGAAGCTACAAAATATCGACGACTGCGACGACGAGGATTCACGATGCTTTTGCCGTGGAGAAGAAAGAGAGAAAGGTCGGTGACAACATCTACAACCCAAAGGCACGTGCCAATTTTTGCCACGAACGAACTATAATAACTAAAATAAAAACAACCAATAAATCGATAAATACATTATTACCGTAATTTTTGTAATTTTAATAAAGATCATATCATCAATAATGTATTGATTATTAAAATTATAAAGAGTAAGAAAAGATAAACCAAGGCACTAGAATGGTTTCAGTTACGGGCCTTTATTTTTCATTCAATTTTAACTTTTTTATCTTAACTTAACTTTAAAACTGTCGTTTAATCCCGTTACGCCCCTGAATATTATTCTAAAAAACGCCTTTCAAATATGTAAAAGAAAAAAAATATACATTTTAATATTAATAGTTTAAATCTATTAAAAATTATAAAAAAATAAGATAATTAAAAATTGTATATATAATTTTAGAGATTAATTATCATGTACACCATCAAATATATTATTTTAAAGGAAATTAAATTATAAATTAATTAAAATAATTTTATATCGTCACCGCATTTTAAATTAAATTCATAATTTAATTTCTATATTATATATTTTCTCTATATTATATGTTCTTGATAAACTAATTGCTTTCGTCAAATGAATGCGATGATCATTTTAGAATCTAAAAATTCATTTGAGAGTATTTATATGAAATGATAAGAGATCTTTTTCAATTTAATAAAATATTATGAATTTAAATTCTTCGTCTGGAGAATACTTTTTATAAATAAAAAATAATTCAATTTAGTTTAAGTTGTTATTGTCGTTTTTTGATTTTCAAATATATAAAAGAATGTAAGAAAGATAATAAAATGTAATAAATAGAAAAGAAAAGAAAAACTAGATAGTTATATATAATATAATACCGATAATAAAATGAGACATGTCATTCATGAACACCAGGTTAGTGAGATTATTATTCTTGTGTGAGTTCTTGTGAGAAATTTATTTTAAATAATTTTTTTAAATTAAATATGAAACTCTCTTAACAGTGAGATATTTTTGCCTAGTTATAGATACGAAAAATTAACTCATTTCTTGCATGAGCGTGATTTTGCCTTTAACTCCATTAACTACCTTTGAAAACTTACTTCTCAAGTTTATATTTATGTTGTTTGACATGATTTCTCTTTAATTTTGCAATTTTCTTTAACTCCTTTATAATACGTGTGGTGTTTTTAATGATATTACGAAAAAAGCTTCAAGGAACATCAATTTTAAATGATAGATTATTTTTAACTTTTAAGAAGTCCTATTAGTTTGAATTCGATGCTATGAATTTTACATATAATTGACATTTTAAATTTAAAAAATTTTACATTTTAAAATCTTCATTTTCGAAGAACTATGTCAGGTAATAGTCTTTTTTTAGTTGAGTTTCCTAGTCTCTACTAGGGTTTGTAAACTTTTTTACTGAGAACACTGAGTTTTTTCTCATCCTATATATTCCTTGTTCTCAATACTAACATGTTGATTGGTTCGTATTTTCCTGAGTTGCATGTGTATCATGTCTAGTGCTCATCTTGAAGGATTATCGTTGCATGAGGAGGGAGAAGAGGAAGGGGTTTGCTTTGATATTGAGGAGGATGGAAAGGTAGTGGGGAATCTACAATAATGCTTGGTGGGGAGATTCGTATGTGATAGATATATTCATGTAAAGTTGATGAAAGTAGGGAGAGTGGAGCTATGGAGGCCGGTGAAATGAGTGACCATTAAATAAGAAAATGATGGATTATTTTTATTTCATTTTCCCCAGGCTCTATATATGGAGGCAGCGTTGAAGGGGGTCCTTGGACTTTCAATAATCACCTACTGATAATCGAGAAGGTGAAGGTATGTGTGTAAACTGAGAATACACCATCTTTATCATAGGAGTTTTGGGTACAAGTTCATAACTTACTAGCAAGTCTCGTGTTGGAGAATGTGAGAAGGTCGATGGCAAACTACATAGGTGTTTTTGTGGAGTACGATAAGAATAACAATGCAAGCTTTTTGGAGACCGTAATTGAGATTGTGGGTTGAGCTTGATGTGAGACTACCATTAATGAAGAATACTAAAGTGGAGAACAAAGGTGGAGAATGGTCTACTGTGACGCTCAAATACGAGAAGCCAGAGGACAATCTTGCCTAAAATATTAGGGGGTGACAAATATTAACTAGAATATTATAATTAAAATTTATAAAATTCAAATATGATCTTACTGGTTGATCAGAACCTGCAAGTGGATCGAAGGATGATCTTAGACTGGCTGGAAAGTTGGGGGAAAAAAGGGTTATACTTGCAAAGCATTCTGATGATCAAGTAAGTGTGGGAGCAAAGAGATACAAGCAAAGTATTAGGGTTTCAAAGATGAATAGTGAATACTTGGGCCTCATAGGTGTGAGAGTTTATATAATGCATCTGGCGTATAGCCCCTGGTTCATATTTTTGGGCCTAGATATTCGGGTCTGCAAATATATGAACTGTCAGGACTTGGTCAAACCGAGCAGATGTGCTTGTAACTAGCTGTTAGTTCCAAGGAGGAGGTAGATTACAGATAGTGATTTGGTCGGCCTCTGGTTGTCTGGTCGACTTGGTGTCGGGCAGACGGAGAAGTGTCTATTGAACGCTGCTGGTCTCACTGGCCTAGGAGAGCAATTGGCTGGAGGTGCCCGACGGAGGGCGGGGGACTTTAGGCCATAGTCGAATGGGTCATGTTGAAGGTGGAGCGTAGACTGGGCTCACTCTAGCCGTTAGGTCAGTCCATAACAAAATACAATTTAATCGATAAAATAATTGACAAAATAACTTCAACATGAAAATAAAAGTATAATATATAAATAAGAGGTATATATCTCAAATTAAAGTAACATCTTCCACTCTTTCAAAGAATTGAATTGTTTTATCACCGAAAACTTATCCTCAAGTATCAATGTTGAAGCTATATAGTTATCATCTTTATCAGAAAGTTTTCTTTTGAAAAATCCATCAATTGTCTCATGCTTAACCACTGTATAGCTTCTAAAAAATTACATAAACAAATTATTAACATTTAAAATTATTAAACATATGGTTCATGTTCAAATCCTTTTAAACAATAATTGATAGTTTCTACTAAAGCAATGACTCGTAATTTCTAAAGCAATGAAATATTAAACACACTTCATGAAAACTTAAATACACTAAACATAAGCATTTGAAAGCAAAGCAGGGCCACTTTGATCTAAAGCAACGCAAAACCTTTGAAAGCAAAACATAGCAAACCATAGCCATTTTGGATAGTTTTATAAACTGCATGAAACAAGCAAAATATAGTTATTATGTCATTTAGGTCTAAAGTTTTTTAAATGAATTCCTTTAAAATTGAAAGGAAAACTTGATTTCAAAATGAAATTAACCTTAAACTATATTTTAACTATAAATCTCGAATGGATTTCAAAATGAAATTAGCCCCACGTTATGATAATGTATTTCAGTTTGTATATTGTAATAGACTGTAACTTGTAGGAAAAGAGCAAAGCAAAGCAATTGTCATTCATTTAGAACTTAAAAGAATCACACAATCACACACACATACCTTTTAATTAAAACTTGTGTGATAGTGGGGGATAAAACAACACGACCTCTACCATCGAAACCCTGAACAAAGTCGTACTCGTCGTCAAAGTCATTGTCGAAGCCATGAACAAAAATGTCATCATCGTCGAAGCTGTGAAAAACAATGTTCTTGTTGCAGCATTAGAATTATAAGTCGTGTGGGTACAAGAAAGGAAAAAAAATTATGTGTGTTGTTGTGTTGTGGCTTGGAGAGTGGAAGAAAAAAAAGGTTTCAGAGAAGATTTTTGTTGTGAATCTTGTTCTTAATTACGACAAAATCCAATATTAATTTGTGAGGAAAAGAATAGTAGCAACCAAAATAAATGGTCTACAGCAATAATAATTCATACACAAATAATATAACAGAATAAGGCGAGAAAAAGATGAATGTTTGTTTACCCAGTTTAATCAAACGATCTACTCTAGGGGAGAGAGCAACTCTCTAATTCACAATACTCAGAAAGTGTTACAAATATTTCCTAACTTCTTCAACCTTCAATATATGATTAACTTAAGCCCAAGGTGTAAACAAGTGTTTCCTAATTCCCAATAATCTTAGATAACTCCAAAAGTTTTCAAACCCCTTGCCTTTCTAAGGTTTCCCTTAAGAATAGCTAAAACCTTATGTTATGCCTTTAAACCCTTATTTTCCCTTGTTGGTGTAAACTCTAAGATTGTCATACTGTAATAACATAAGAGATACATATTTATAATAGCCAAAATTCAACAAATCAATAACAAATCCCAAAACATATCTCCTTAATTGTTAGAATAAAAGATATTATTATAATCTTATAATATCACTCAAATATTATAAGTATCTTATAATATCTCTTAGACTTTTATAAATATATATGTTATAACATCTCTTAAATATTGTAAATATATATCTTATAGTATCTTTTTATATTAATTTATATGATCTC